TTATTAGTATGTGTATAATATAGTTTTTGTTGTTCAGTTATATGTTAATTAATTAATATCAAGTATTTCAGTAATGGTTTGTAGCACTAATTAAGTTTGAGGAGAGAAGAGAGCATAAGGAATTTCAGAATAAAAATATATTTACATATAAAATCACCGTCACTCTGTCGACTAAAGACGTAAGGCTCCAAATAACTCAAATTCTTATTTTTACAATCTATTTATTTATTTACTAGCGGAAAACATGCGTGTTCTACTATGCTAAAAAAAGCATTTTGTTTATCTATTAACATTTTTATATAGTATCTAATGCATTGTTTTAGTGGTCCAAAACTATTTTCGCGTTATTTCCTTTCTAATGAAACCGGTTTGGGGCAAATTTCGGATGGTTTCAAAGTCTATAACGGACATAGGTTGAATTTTTTTTTTTGTTTTTTAGATAGATTTTGTAACAAGGAAAATGCTTGCGACACTTTGTCTTTTATTTATTAGGAATAATTTACCAGATTTTATTCTGTAAGTATGTGGTATTTGCAAAGGATAGCTCAGCGCCCTAGTGGGATAATAATTGCACCATATTTTTATTTATTTAATGAAACTGCTACTTCGTAATCAGCCTAGGGTGTGCATTAATATCGCTAAAAATATTGTTTTAATTATTAAAACTGCATGAGTTCATAGTACGGGAATTTGTTGAAAATTGTTTGGCTTAACGATCGTCCTAACAAGTGGACATGGCAATAGTATTGAATTTTTTAACTGCGGTAGATGCATATTGAATTTTAAGGCGCTTTTTTGATGAAATTTACAACAGAAAAAGGTAAAAAATTTGCCTGCAGTTATTTCGAATTCGCAAAAATGGATTCTTTGAAATTTTAATTTACTGAGATTTTTTACTATTATACAATTTAAGACTCATGTATAATTTAAGACATCTCATGATTATATAGAAATACAGTACCCGGTTGACCAAGCTTTGCTCGGTATTTTTCGCTCGGTTGTTTTTGATTCGTGTGTTTTGGAAATTATATTTTACAAATTACATACTGATGAAATACGAATAATATTTTTTGATCGTAGCGACATAATAGAAAAAAAACTGAACTGGTTATTTGAATAAAAAATCATGAGTGCTAGTTTAATTTAAATTTTCGTATAATCAAGGTCGCTCAGCGAGCTATGGAGAGGGCTATGCTCGGAGTTTCACTGAGTGATAGACTCAGAAATGAGGATATCCGCAGTAAAACCAGAGTGACCGACATAGCCCAACGGATTGTAAGCTGAAGTGGCAATGGGCCGGCCATATAGCTCGAAGAACCGATAACCGATGGGGAAGAAAGGTTCTCGAGTGGCAGCCTCGTACCGGTAGATATAGTGTAGGGCGACCCCCCACTAGATGGAGTGACGACCTGGTAAGACATGCAGGAAGTCGATGGATGCAGGTGGCTCAGGACCGTGCTTTGTGGCATTACTTGGGGGAGGCCTATATTCAGCAGTGGACTTGTGAAGGACTGTAATGATGATGATGATGATGAAATTTTCGTGTTTTTAAAATATACTAAAAAAAAGGGCACGAAAAAATAGATTTTCTCAAAAAAAGAAAGGAACTTGAAAAAAAAAATTAAAAAAAGTCGGTCGGTCGGTCTGGGCTCGAACCATGGTATTACGATTTTGTGACCGCCCAATATACCAATTAAGCTATTTGTAATCATTAATAAACTGTCAAAATTTACCTTCTTATTCTAACGATATTGTAGCAGTTTTTCATTGCCTAAAAACACGGATAAAAAGACATTTTCTAAAAATAGATCGATTTATTGTCCCTGAAACTCCCTGCAAACAAAATTTTATGAAAATCGTTGTAGCCGTTTCCGAGATTCCGATTATATATACAAAAACAAGAATTGCTCGTTTAAAGGTAAGATGGTATGCATGCGTTGACACGAGGTTAAATTTAGAAGTGATCGGACAATGTCAGATCGCTGTAATTCCTCAATAATTAAAAAGGTAAAAGAGGAAAGTCTGGGTATACTGGCTGGCCTATTTTACCCGCGACCAGAGACCAGTGTTGCACAGTTTAACAATTGCATGAGTTTACATAGACTACAACAACTTAGGTACCACACCCGAGGTGAGCCAAAACTTGTATTTAAAATTAGCGAATGAAAGGTTTTGGAATAATAAGTGGTATATGGTATGGTTGTAGCTCGAATGGGTCGGCTCGATCGGGGTATAACCAAGCAGTCACATAACACCAGCGTAAAATCACAACTTAATGCTGCTGTGCTCCGTATGATGAGTATAGAGAGCCGGATAACCGGTTTGATGGAAACAAAGCATTCGATCTTAGTCCTCAGAGTTGATAACGCATTTGCATTTTGATTCTTAATCGAGAATAAATATAGATGTCCATGGGCCCCAGCATCCACTTACTATCACGTGGACTGTGTGCCGGTTTGTCACTCTTATTCTATAAAAAAGGAAAATAAAATAAAAAGACGTAATTGCGTGCGAGCGTATGCAGCAAAATGAAAGTCATCTGCACAGTGTAACTGAAACTGTAACTGAAACACTGAAAAATTCACTAGAATCTCCCGAAGTAATTTTGAATTACTTTTAACCCTCCGCCACCGCACCGGTCGGCTGAATCCCTTAGCTTTGCGAATGCGAGATATAGTCATAGTTACAAACAAAATAGAAAAAATGACTAAAATTTCCACACGCACTAGATATTTGGCAATTCATGTCGACGACGTTGAGCAATATAGAATAAATGGAACAAGTAGACGCCACACTGCCGAAACAATCGCAGTTCTAGGAATTACTTCAGATTGCTTCACTAATTTGTCGACGACCTCCGGCAGCTGTCGCCGGACAACTATTGCTCATAAATTGCTTGATTGTAATGAGGCTGGCAAGTGCGGTGATTTATGCTCCTTATGATAAGAAAGGCAGGCCCCTATTATAATGTCTAACACTTTTACGGGATGAAAGAAATGTCATAAATGAATAGAATAAAAGAATGATGAGGATAAATTTTGAAAGTCTTAAAAGTAGGTATATACAGATAAAAAAACTTACTATTTTATATAAATTTATTACTCATAGCCAACCTAAATTTCACTGTTAATCATAGGCTATCTCCAGAGATTGACTATGCAGCAATATGGGAGTAGTGATATTTGCCATAATTACCAAGCTTGACAGGCGGCCTGTTGATTGCAGTTTTTCTTTATTTTAAACTGCTAATGTGTCAGGAAAGTTCTTCATCTCATTTTCTGTTTCAGATTCACCTTGCGGGCAGATTCGCAGGGCTTGCACTGTTGTGATCCGGTCTCAAGGGTAAAGAGACCCAGTACAACTCCAGATCCCGCGGACATTCCATCTTATTCCTCAAAGTTGACAACAAACGCACATTGCGACAAAATTCATGATACCGCCACCTGGATGCTTGGAGGTCCACCACTATGCGCTTGAGTGCGACCTCTTTGTAGAATTGTTTACCACTGGCGATTTTTTCGGACCGATACGACTTACGGATCTTAGAGAAAAGAGCTTAGTCCTTTCTAGCAGGCCGGTAATCTACCTGCAATTTCCCTGGTATTGCAGTTGTTTATGGGCGGTGGTAGTCAGTTACCATCAGGTGAGACGCATGCTTGTTTACCCCCTTTTCTATTAAATAATAGTCACTGCATCAGATGGTCTGTTACTTGGTTTGATATTTCAATTTGTAAAAAAAGGAACCACTATCCTCGGGTAGGTTGAGGCTCAGCGTGGTCATCTACAAAAGGCTACATCATTAATGATATCAAAAAGTGGCTGTAATTCAATGGCTCAGGGGCTAAACGTTCGCTGTAAATTTAACAATATGCGTGCAACCTGGATTCAATCCCTGCGGACACCAATTAAATGGTTAACTATTAACGTGCTCGGTAATGAAGGAATCTTTGCGAGGAAACCTACAAGTGAGAGAAATAAAAACTTTTCGAACACTTCGTGTTGACAACACGCATTACGGCAACGCGACGAAGATTTCCTTGCCGTAAAACACTCAAAAATGGTATAGTTTTACACTCAATCCTTGGCTAAGAAAAATACATATTAAATTGTCTCAGTCATTGTTACAAATAAACGTTTATATTTTATATTCTTGAAGCATACGTTTAAGCTCATAAAGATTTTTTATTTTTACAAAGTATTATCTTTGTAAAAACCTTTACGAAGCCCGGACAAACAAGGTCAGACATTTATGTAACAAACGGCCTCATTGTTTAAAACATACAGACTTTGGTTTAAAAAACTAGCTTTTATAATTCCTCATTAGTCATTTCTCATTTTACAACCACATTTTATCAAAACTATAATTTTTGACGTTTTTTCTTTCAAAATGAAACTTATGCAAGTGAATCTATGTCACAGAATAAAACTGTTGATCGTTATTTAAAGTATTGTTTTTACACACGTGCCTTACACACGCAGTTGTATGAAGTATGAATATCAAGGTATGTTATAGGTGTTATTATACCTTTTTTAACTATTTTCCAATACAACTATATTATTTTAAAATTTAATCAATAGATTCGTATTTTTAACAAAATTAGCTAGTCCGGCAGACGTCATTCAGCCTTTTCTGGTAAATGACGCGATGAGATTCACTCCGAATTAATTCCTATCGCTTCCAGATTTTGTGATTTTTATTCTTTTAGCCACTAGCACACGGAATGTATTAAAAAATGGTTTTATTTATGAGAGTCGCCGAACAAATTGATTATTACTACAGCCTTCAGCTATTTATATCGAGATGATCATGATCACCAGCCTTTTAAACCAGCACTATAATATCGTCCGCTCATACATCATATTCAAATCAAAGTCAACTGACACAGACTGAGAAGATTTGTCTATAATAACCATGCTGGATTGCTTAGGGCCAAAAGGTATTTAAACGATAAACATAATATTAAAATAAAACAAAATTTAACTTTCTAAAGTTTATTGATTTAAAAATGTAAAACTAGCATAACAGCGAAAACTAAAGAATATACAATAAACATAATCTTGTCTAATACTTCAGCTACTTCTCGCCTTTCATCATATTGATTATTATCAGCTTGCATTTGTTCAATGTTGCCTAATCTTGGAATGGTATCTGCTCCTGAATCATCACCTTCCTCCGCCGTCAAACTTCTTTCTCCAAAAGATTCGTAGATTCTACAAGTCTGTAAATATTTTTAATCAAAAGTATCTAAATGTTTATTTTTCATTCATAACAATTTATCAAAAACCCATTGTTGAACATATGCAACTCCAATAGAGCCTTAAAGCCATACTTATTAGGTTCAGCAAGTGGATTGGCGGCTGCAATTTGTTTTATTATTTCATTTCCTGTTGTAGTTTCTCTCTATCACCACTTATGACACCCACGGCGTGATATCATCATTATCATTTTCATTACAGCTTCATATGAGTCTACTTTTAAACAAATGCCTTCCCCAAGAAATTCCACAAAGCCACATGCATCCATTTACCTCTTGCATGTCTCGTATCGTCATGATATAGGGAAGTGGATTCGGATGTGTGTTGGTGGGCTGCGGCGAGAGGGGTGTCCTCTCATACTACCACTCCAGAGGCGGAGTCACGGAGGAAGAGGAGGGTTGGTATGGTGGTGCGCCACTTCTATCCTCTGCGACTTTGATGGGCATAGTTGATGCAGTAGTGGTCAGGCTGCGGAGGAAAAGGAGTGTCGGTATCGTAAGGCACCGTTCTCCCTACCCTCCGAAGTCAAACCTTGGTTTGCGGTTGAGCTGTAGACCAGATCCAACGCTGGGATCAGAAAGGCTAATTCTTCTGAGTACTCGTTTTTTCTGGTGTCATTGCCTTCGCGTGCCGCCATGGAGCGGTGGTACTGATGGGGCTGCGAATGTGTGCGTTCCCGTGGCCCTGCCAATATGCGACGAAGATGGAGCACAATGGGGTTTTAGCCAAGTCTAATATAACCACCAACATAACGTAATAATTTATGACATTGTCTTTATATACCTACATATAAAATATGTATTAGGTGTCAAGTTCCCAATACCTTGAAGCAATATACATCCAATAATTCACCATCTATTATAAGCCATATTTTTTTACATTACCCATAGTCGCTTCATACGACACACACGAGACATAATACGTCGACGGATTCTCTTCAGACAATACAACTAATTACTTATTTATGCCATTTGAGAGCTGTAGACTCAGATAATAAACGCTCGTTTTTAATCTATAGTATGAGAGTAAACATCGCACAACTCGAAAATCGAAATGATAAGTGATATCTGAAAAATTAAAAACATTTTGCCATCAAAATGCAAGAGGAGTGCTGCTGTGTCCATCAATTGGACGTTAATAGGTTGTACCCATTATTATATTTTTTAATGTTATTCCTTATATATATATCTGCAAATATCGTTGTCTACAAATAATGTCTCATTACTAAGGAATTGGTGACTGAATTCCAATAATTTAATGTATTTTAAGCCCCGCATTAAATTTTATTTGTCTAAGATCAATATGTACTTAACTATTTTATATATTTTGCAAACTTTATTATGAAAATTTATATTATTTATATTTATATTAAGGTATTTAATTAAAAAGTTTTCTCCTCGTACGACTCCTCTGGAATCGTTTACCACCGGCGATTTTTCCAGACTAATACGACTTAGGCATTTTCAAGAAAAGAGCTTACTCCTTCCCAAAGGGCCGGCAACGCACCTGCACTTCCCCTGGTGTTTCACTTGTTCATGGGCGGCGGTAGTCACTTACCATCAGATGCACCACATGTTCGTTTGTCCCCTCTACTATAAAAAGGACAAAATTTCAAAAGAAAATACTATTATTCGCCTTCGTAAGAAATTCAATACATCTTTTTGATTTTATTTGTGTCGTATCACTTTCAACTTCCAAAGTTTAGGTTTTGTATATAACTATGACAGATGCATAGAATAAAAATATATATATAGTTGAAATTAAATTAAAGAAGGCGTTTAAATTTAAAATACCTTTATAACGGGCAAACAGAATATTCCTCTAAACCAACCGTGGATCAAGATAGTATTTACAAACTGTTTCTTGCATATTTTTTCCGCTATCGATGTCATCATCAATACATTTAATATCAATGCAAACAGTATACCGACAAGAACCGATGTATAAAGAATCACTGAAAATAAACATAATTTGTAAACATTAACACGTAGAGGTTAATATTTATAATAGTTTAAAAATGTATGATACTCACATATTGAAGGAATAGTGTGACAAGGTATTAAATTGTCTATGTAGCAAAGCCCCATGCAAATGACAATCGTACACCCTGCATAAAACCATACTCTGTCCATTTTGAGCGAATCAGTCCAAAATGACATAAGCAGAAATATTATTAGCACTAAAACAGGGAAAAATTGTTATTTTTAAATTTTATAAACAGTTTTTGTTATATATATGTAACAACAGCGGACAATAATGGTATTGCATCATGTTCTTGTTTAAATTATGCAGCCTCTATCTAAAAATTTCTACTTTTGAATGGAATATAAAATCTAGCATCTTAATTAAAATATAATTCTACTAGCACTATTAACAATTCTATTTCTACCGTTAACTACTCTTGCTGCTAATGCTTGTGTTAGGATGCAGTATTCAAATTCATTCATTACAGCCCTTCACAAGTCCACTACTGAATATAAACCTCCCCCAAGGCCACAAAAACGGTCCTGTACCACCAGTGCCTGTGACCTGTGGCTTGTGTACCGCCTTACGCTTTGTCTACCAATACGAGGATGCCACTCGAGAAGCTTTCTTCGAGCTATATCGAAGAAAGCCTGGCCGGCCCATTGCCACCTCAGCTTGCTAAATCCAGTCGGTTACCCTGATATTACTGCGGATATCCTCATTTTTAAGTCTATCACGCATAGAAACCCCACGCATAGCCCTCTATGTAGCTGATTGATAACCGGATGGCGGACTTGATCCCACGACTTTCTGAGTTTGCTGTCCGACACTCCATCGTTAAACTACCGAAAGTGTAAAATTATGGACAAATATAGGATTTATTTCCGTTTATTTATGGCGACGGCGTAAAAGAACTTATTATCTCATTTAGTCCCACGGTTGCCGTCAGAAACGACTACGATATATTCTAGAAATATTTTATAGCTTCCGATAAATGGCGATATAGCTGCAGACATGAAATATACACCAGTGATGGAAAACAGCGTCAAAATTGCAAGACATCTGCCAATCGTCACGTAATTAATGTAAATCCTCCCTACAAGAAAAGAAGCCAATGTTCGGGTGTGGCGCTCACCTTATTTGTGAGGATTTATAAACAAGAAAATTCCACGGGGCTATCCAATTTAAGTTGGCTGACTTATTTTTTAATTTTTTAGACATGTGGGAAGTTACTGCGACGTCAGCAATCATCATCGCCAAGTACATAATAAATGTAGAAACAGGTTTAACTTCAAAAATTCATAATTTGTAAAGTGAAATTTAACTTGCTGCCGAACATAATATTGTAGCCCTTTGTACGTTAAAGAAAATGAGTAATATGTAGTTTATTAAGAATTTTTGTTATTTAAGCATACAGATTGGATAAACATAATTTTTATACAGATATAGCCAAGGTCAGATTTCTATAGGATAATTTACAATGTCGCAACTACATATTATATATCGTATTATTTTTTCAGCCAAATTTATAATTCTTACAAGGTTTGTACAATCAAATCAAATAAATGTTGTGATTTATTATAATTTCTAAGTAAAATATCATTTCTAACTCACCAAACAGCGGCGTATAAAACACAATGTTGTATGACGAAGCTCGCCTTTGCAAAGTCATTTTAATCACTAGCCTGTCGCTTTGAGTTTCACTATTATTGGAACTTGTATAAATTTTGCCCCACGAGGAAGCTGATACAACATACTGTTTGATATCCATATCCCATTCATTTTGTATCACCTCGTCTATGACTGTGAACTAAATTACTTAATTTTTATAGTTTAAGATGTGTAAACAAGCACATAGTCCTGATGGTAAGTGGATGCCGTGACTTATAAGACACCCGCCTCGGTTATGACGTGTTCTCGATTAGGAATAAAAATGCAGATCCGTTGTAACGCCTGAGAACTAAGATGGACTATTTCTTTTTCCGTAAATGATGTGTGCGTCTTCGACATTCACCATACAAAATACAGCAGCATTAAGCTTCTATTTCACGCTGATGTTTAATGAAACCGTGATTCTTCCCTTTTCGAGCCGACTCTGTAGTGCTACAACCATATTTTACCTTCAGCGTAGCTGTAGCTCTACCGCGTATTACTTAAGTACTAAAGTCTTCGTTATTTATATTTATACAGATGATATAAGAATATTTTTACAAGAATTATATCAAATATATTATAAATAATGAAATAATGTAGCAGTGCCATAAGTAGACGCATTATTATTCCTTTAACAATTTTTTCGCCTTACTCAAATTATGACTGACAGCGATATTATGGAATAAGCACTTACGGCGTTCATTTGTTCTTTCTTTGGAACTGATAGAAATATTTTTTCATGCGTTTCCCACGGTTGAATCACTATAGAGCATTGGTACTCGTCACGAGGCCATCTAAAAATATGAACATTTAGATAATTGTACCTATACTAAATATTTTGCTATGAAATAAAATTTATAATGATTTTCTATAGGTTCTATGCTGCGAAAAGGATTGTAAATTATTTATGAGTTAGCTTAAAATAAACGACTTCGAATTTTTCAACTTTCGGTCTATTAGGCTGTTTAGTTATGTAAAATTCAAAAGAAACAATACACACATAAATACACTATAAATTCTGAAGGTACGGTATGGTAGGGTACTAGGAGTACATGTAGTTTAAGGTATGGTATTGTAAGGTACTAGGAAGGTAAGGTAAGGTGAACCTAGAAGATAGGCAGAAACTACGGAGTTCCATTTGGCATGATTCTGATTCACCCCCTCGCTTTCATTACATACATAAATGTACGTATACATGCTCCTAAGGATGGTATTTCAGCCATCTTCAAAATATCGCCACTTTAGTCGACAAACTTCCGTCTAGGGCGTTCCTTACCAAGTCTACCACTCACTTCTACATTTTAAAGAACTGCATTCTAAAGGAACCTCCACATTAAATACGTACGTAATGCTCAAACGTGTGGTATGATTCTGGTATCGGTTGTTGAGCAAGTTAAATACGGACATCAACTCAGATTTTTTTAATGTCTTTCAAACAGGATTTTTCTCATGACGGTCAATCGCAACGTAGGCTAGTCATCTGCACCTGACAGTTTTGTAGTCTACCAGTGTGCACACAAGGTCACTCTCTACTCCCACTCTTATTTGGGACGGCAAACCGACATGACCGGACCGAGAGAGCAGACGCTGTGAGCGATATTAACGGCCGGAACCAACTAGTTTTTATGAGGATACAGACAATGTCACATTTTGTAGAGAGAATGAGTGCGTATACATCGTTCATTGATCCCATAAGAAAAATGATATCGAATATTGACACCGAAACAGAAGCTCTTGTAACTAAAATTTTGTTTGAAGACCCAAGTCTCTACCAGAATACTAGGTGTAGATTATATAAAAAACGGTACAAAAATAAGAATTAAGGCAAGAAAATAAATTATTTTGTGTGCAGGTGCGATAAACACATCGCAACTTTTTTACGTGCTCTCCAAAGTACGGTGCTGAAAAAAAGACAACTTTCTGAGTGCAGGCCGGTACTGAGAACTTCGTGACATTAAAACCCAATAACTGATTTTGGCCCAACCTGGGGTGCCCCGTGACTACCTGTTCGCGCTTACGACCACTATACCAACGAGACATCCAAAGCTCGCGAAATCCTAATTAGCTGTTATAGATATTACCTTCTACCAGCTTTACTGGAAAATGTCTGAATTTTGATAACTTTCTACTAACCCCGTCATAAGCCTATTAGAATACTAATGTTTTATTGCAAAAGTTATTAAAATGTTACCTTTACGAAAGGATAAAATGGTTATTTATGGTAAGACCGTCATTTGAAAATTAGTTGTATCATACCTATTTAAAGTATCAGTGTAGTCAAAGCACCACGTATTTATTGTTGTTTGAAAATGGAAAATGGCTTCACCACTATACACCATCCAGATGAGGTCTGGGTTTTTTGTGTCCAGCATACCCAACTCATTAGAACTAAAACATAATATAATTTTTCATAAAATCAACATTGACATCAACAAATATATAAACTAAATTCGCTGTCTAAGATTAAATCGGTCGTGAATCTCACGGAATGGGCGGTTTTTTTTATATAACTGTAGTGACAAATTAGCTTACAGTCCACTCGGTGGTAAGTGGTTAAATCAACCCATGGAAATCTGCAACGAACTTTAAACAGAAGGTTACAGATGCGTTGTCACCTCTGAGTACAAAAGTGGAATGCCTCACAGCCTATAAATTAATGGTTGTTAATATAGCGCATAGCGCCATATTATAGTGCGCTATCTCTCCATAACGCATAGCGCATGCTAAATAAATAATCGCCATGGCGCTATGGCGCTATGACGCTTTGGCGCTATTCATATCAAGTGGCAATTAGTTCTAGCAGCAGTGCTGTTGGGAGTAGACGTGTGACGCAAATTTAATTTAGCAGCACGCTATTCATCGCGCGCGAACTAATTTAGTGTTAGACGTTGTTTAGTTATTGTATACTGTATATTTATAAGTGACTAACTAATGTTTTTAAATGTAAATAAAATATACATACAAAAGTGTATATAATATTGTCTATAAATAGTTGATTTTTGTATATATAATCAATAAACTTTTAAATACACCTTTAATTGATTTATAATTTATATTAAGGTTAAAATAACGTTTACATCAATTATAATAAAAATGAATTATTTTATTGTGTTTTAAAAAGTACATGCTTTAAAAATATTTTTAGGATAATAGAAAGTTGTAATCCTGAAAAGTATGAAAGAGCGGTCACTGATTTCTCTTTACCACTTTATTTTAATCTAAAATGCGACTTATTACGAAATAATATTTCTATATACTAGCACAACAGTAAGCACGCGGTCTATCCAATGAATGACACGTAATGTAGCGTGCTCCGAGATATAGCGTGCTGATAAACTTAACCCCCTACACGCTTTCTTATAAATAGCGCGCTATAACGTAGCGTATTTAATAGCGAACTAGACATTTATAGTTTATAGTCAGTAGCGTGCTTTTGATTTATAGTCATTTTGAACAACTTTACTATAAATATACTTGCTTTCTTATATCCCTATCCCAAAAAGTAAGTAAGATACCACTACTACTACCATATAATAAAATAATATTTTTCTTTTCTTAAATCTCATAGTGCACAAGTAACTTGTGTTCGATACCTGCACCGCTAGAATAATCTTTTACTATTTTAG